TTCTGCAACGAGAGGCCACCTGAATGTGGTCGAGGCGTTGCTGAAGGCTGGAGCCCAGCTGGAGCTCGTCACCAATGATGGCAGCACAGCCTTAATCGATGCTGCAGAAAACGGCCATTTGAATGTGATCGGGGAGTTGCTGAAGGCCAGAGCCCAGCTGGAGGCCCGCAATAAGTATGGCCTCACAGCCCTCATGGAAGCTGCTGAGGAAGGCCACCTGAACGTGGTTGAGGCGTTGCTTAAGGCCGGAGCACAGCTGAATGTCGCCAATGAGAAAGGCGAGACAGCCCTCATGAAAGCTGCCGGGCAAGGACGCCGGAACGTGGTCGAGGCGTTGCTTAAGGCCGGAGCACAGCTGGATGTCGCCAATGAGCTTGGTGACACAGCCCTCATGTATGCCTCAGTGAAAGGCCACCTGGAAGTGGTCAAGGCGTTTCTGAAGGCCGGAACCCAGCTGGAGGCCCGGGATGTGTATGGCTTCACGGCTATCAGCTTGGCTAAATATGCCGGCCGCTTGAGTGTAGCTCAGGCATTGAAGAGGGCTGGAGCTCAACTGGAGGCCAGCGACGAGGATAGCCTTTAACCATGCACAACAGCAATGGCACCCACAGGTGGAGCACATGGACAGCATGTTCAACAGCTTGTGTCGCCGCAGAAAATTGGTGCGCTTCCCTGCTTGCTTGTATGCCCATCTACGTGTGGAGGTTCAGTGTACTTGGAAAACCTCTGTCAAATATCACAACTGCTGTTAAATTCATGTCTACCCTAATTGATGTAATCATACTAAACCCTGAATTTCATCATTCCTGTGTGCGAGCCCGGGCCCTAAGTGCCTAAACCCTAAAAGAACCATCATCTACAGCCTAAATCATTGTTCTTACTTGGAGGTTCATGGGTAGTTCTAAGTGGAGTTAAAAAAGTCCCCCAATATAGGTTACAACTATAGTTACCCTACTGATAACCCTATGTACGACTACCCATGAACCTCCAAGTAGGGATCCTAGAAATCAAACCCTAAACCCTAAACCCTAAACCCCAAGCTATCCTAGAAATCCCAGCCTCGCCAACCCCTCAGGCCGACGAAGGGGGCGACCCAAACGAAAGGTATTACCTCTGGGCTTCTTTAAGGGTTCCTTCAGGGGTTCCCGGTTTAGGGCTTAGGGTTTAGGAGGTTTCTTCAAACATAATTCCTTATTGTACTTGGAAGATCATGGGACTGATTCGTTGGAGTTCTAAGAACTTTGAATCATGCTTGCCTCATTTCTAACCCTAGTTACGAAGCCCCATGATCCTCCAAGTAGTTTCCGACGATGTACCCCCCCAGTCTACTCTTTGAGTTCCTCAATATTAAGATTTAGATTCAGGGTTGAACCTCGCAAAAAGGATCTGGGGACTTAGCAAGCCGGGGTGTGAGCAAGACAGCTTATAGTTCTAATTAAGTACAACTGCAAAGCGGCAACTGTTAAACACCTTACTTACTAAGTCCCCTGATCCTCCAAGCAAGCGAAAATCTTAAATCGGTTCAAGCCTGCAAGGTTGGTGCGACCCAGAAAAACACACATACATACGTGTATATATATATATATATATAGACAGATAGATAGATAGATAGATAGATAGATAGATAGATGTGTACACATACATATACATATCTCACATATGAACCGTTTTTACGATCTGAAGAAGCCACATAAACGACCCTGTTCAACCGTTGTAAGGCCCAAAAACCTCATATATAGAATACCCTAAAGCCTAAACCCTAAACCCTACACCCTAAACCCCGCAAGGCCCACAGCAGCTGCTGATTGTATGTTCTTGCCTAAGCCCTAAACCCAAAAGGTTTAGGGTTTAGGGTTTAGGGTTTAGGGTTTAGGGTTTAGTGCCTAAATCCTAAATCCTAAAGGTTTAGGGTTTAGGGTTTGAGCCTAAACCTTAAACCGTGTACACGTACCTCTGCAGGTTAGGAGGCGGCCCATGCTGCGCAGGCCTCCGAGCTTCCAAGCTATACACACGGATTCTGTAGGGTTAGTATGGTTTCTTTTGGTGGGGGTTTATGGGCCTTTACAAGGTTTCCAAGTTTTACGGGCTTTGCGAGTTAGAAAAGGGTCTTCGGCTACATTCAAGTAGAATGATACAGGGCATGTTGTTTCGATTCATTCCGACCCTTATGCTATGCCCGAGCTCTGTCGCCAGTGGGTTCTTCAGACTTCGGCACCCTTTCATCACCGTGGCCAGCGTTCTGGTTGGATTTTGCCTTTTCTTACTGCTACATCCTAAACCAGCTCGAGACCCTGCGCCTCGTGCATTTTCGACCCAATGCCCCTCCAACGCTTTTGTTCCAAGGCCTGATGGGGTGTTTAGGGTTTAGGGCTTTCGAGTAAAGGTTCGTGAGGGGGTCCCCCACATCGACGACTCAGACGACCGAAAAACACGTTCTAGACAGCGGTGGAAAAGGCATTGTAAAAGTGTTGCCGGCGGCAAAGACCCAGAAAATGCAGCCTACACGTACGTTCAGGAGGACATCCACAAGGAGCGGCAGAAACTCGATGATTGTGGAGCTTTTGTATTCCCCCCATATCCATAGGATACCGCTACGACGCCTCCTGTCCTGCCCTTAATGTACATGCTGGAGGCTTGGCACTGAAGCGACGTACGGAGCATCCTCCAAAAACCACGCATTCATGAGAAGCCCCCTTGATAGGGGTGGGTGTGAACTCTAAA